CCCCACCAAAGGGACCCCCCATGCCATGAGGACCCATTCCTGTCACGGGCACCCTCCATCCCATGGGGACCCACCCATACCATGGGGCACCCACCCTCCATGCCATGGGACACCCTCCGCCCCATAACCAACCACCCACCCATGGGACACCCTCCACCCCATAACCACCCACCTATGGGGGACCCTCCACCCCATAACCACCCACCCACCCATGGGGGACCCTCCACCCCATAACCACCCACCCTTGGGGTCCCTCCACCCCCCAGAGCCGCCTGCACCCCGTGCAGTGCCACCAGGGCACCGATGCCACCCCCTGGGCAGGGCCCCCCCCAGACTCACGCCTGCTTCTCCAGGGGCAGCGAGGTGTCCACGTGCCGGGGGCTGGGGGGGCAGCCCGGCCTGGTGCCCGGGGGGGCCCGGGGGGGCCGTGGCAGTTGCCGGGACAGGCTGGGCGAGCGCTCGGGGCTCTCAAACTGCACTGCAGGGCAAAGGGGGGGTCACCCCACCCCTGCCTGCTGCGTGGGAGGGGGCACCTCTTGGTGCCACACCACCGAGGGATGGCCCAGGGGTGACCCCACCGGGGCTCTGCCCCTCCCTGGGATCCTGTTGCCACCTGTGGGCACCAGGGTCAGGAGTGGTCTGGGGGTCACAGGGTGTTGGTGACACCCCTGGGCACTGGGGGATGTGGGGCTGGAGGACCATGGGGTGCTGCTGGAGGGTGTTGGGGGGCAGGAGAGGCACCCATGGGAGCAGGGGGACCCTGGGGTGGTCCCCGTGGGCACTGGAGGATGCTGGGGGGCAGGAGTGGCACCCATGGGAGGAGGGGAACCCTGGGGTGGTCCCTGTGGGCACTGGAGGATGCTGGGGGGGCAGGAGTGGCACCCATGGGAGCAGGGGAACCCTGGGGTGGTCCCCGTGGGCACTGGAGGATGCTGGGGGGGCAGGAGTGGCACCCATGGGAGCAGGGGGACCCTGGGGTGGTCCCCGTGGGCACTGGAGGATGCTGGGGGGGCAGGAGTGGCACCCATGGGAGCAGGGGGACCCTGGGGTGGCACCCATGGCACCTCTGGGATGAAGGGTTGGGGGATTCTGGGGTGGTCCCTGTGGGCACTGGAGGATGCTGGAGGACAGGGATGGTACCCACAGGAGCTGGGGGACCCTGGGGTGGTACCCAGGGGTGCTGGAGGATGGGGGGGGCAGGGGAGGCACCCATGGGAGCTGTGGGGCTGCAGAGTCATACCCGTGGGCACTGGGGGATGTGGGGCTGGGGGACCTTGGGGTGGTACCCACGGGAGCTGGGGGGATATTGAGAGCCAGGATGGTTCCCACAGGAGATGTAGGACCCCAGGGTGGTACCCACGGGAGCTGTGGGACCCCAGAGTGTCACCCAGCCCCCCGAGGTGTCACCCAGCCCCCTGAATGTCACCCAGTCCCCCGGGGTGTCACCCAGCCCCCCGGGGTGTCACCCAGCCCCCCCGGGCCGCCGTCACCTGCGAACGCCCGGGAGATGTGATCCTTCTTCCACTCCCAGGGCTGGTCGTACTCGTCCGCCGGGCGCTCGTCGTCGCGGGGCAGGCGGCTCTCCCGGGCCGGGGGCCCCCCCGGACCCTCCCCGGCCGCCTCCCACTCCTCGGAGGGGGTGTCGTAGAGTTGTGGTCCCCGCCGGGGCCTCCCCCGCCGGCCCTCGCCCTGCCGGGGGCACCCTGGGGACGGCGGGACGGGGCGGTGGGAGGCACCCCGGGACCCCCCCCGGGGGGTTGCTGGGGGTGCCGGGGGTGTCACCCACCTGCGGGCTCGTCCTCGCAGCCGCCCTCGGGCGCGGGGTCCTGCTCGCCCTCGAAGGGCTCTGAGTATTCGCTCTCACCAGGGCCCTGGCGGGGGGTAGCCCGGTGGGTGCCCCGGTGGGTGCCCCGGGTGGGATGGGACCCCCCTGGACCCCCCCGGCAGGTTCCCGTGCCCTGGGTGCCCTCCCGGGACCCCGCGGGCCCCCCCGAGCCCCGCGCTGGGTGCCCGCAGCCCCTTCCCCGCTCCCTCCCACCTGCTCCCTTTGTCCCCCGACCCCTCTCCCCTTCCCCCTCTCCCACGGTCTCTGCCAGCCCCCCCCTGGCTCCCCCAGTTCGCTCTCCCAGTGCCCCCAAATCCTCTCTGGGTGCCTCATTGCCCCCCCACCCCCTTCCCCCCGACCCCGTGGCTCCCCCCGCTTCTCCATCCCCGCTCCTTCTCCCTCGCTCCTTCTCCCCGGTCCCCCTTCCCCATCTCGCCCCCATCCCCTCCGTGCCCCCCGGTGCCCCTCGGCCCCTCTCCCCAGCCCCCCGCTCTCTCCTTGTGCCCCAA